ATCTGCCTGTTTTGCTCCCCACTCTGTCCCTGGTGAATTCTCTCACCCTCCGCATCTCTGATCTGTACCCCAGTTCCGTATGAATAAATAAATCTTTAAAAAAAAATGCACCAGCTAAACAAGTCCAATCATTTCATAATGGTTCAATTAGTCTGCTCATTTCCAGTCTCTGTTTTAGTCCTTCTTCCATGTTCCAAAAGAGGTAGAAAATCATGCTAATTATACTCAAATTTGATTAATTTCCTCCCTGATTCTCTACCTATATTACTATTTCCTTAGTTGAAGTTTCCATTTTTTTCTTCAGTGAGAGCAACATTATTCTAACTTAAATAATAGACAGCCCCCTTTTTAAGGAAACATTTCTGGAAACTAGCCATCATTTTGTTTAAAAATGTACAATGAAAATGTAATATAAACTTCATATATTTAAAGTTTGTACATCAATCTGAAATCAAAACAATTTATGCATTAAATATTTTCATGGCCAATTTAGCAAGTTTAGTAACTAAATTAGTTAAAGTGACAGTGCCATTTGCTGAAACACTATACCAATTTTGTATAAGTATATGGGAAGATACATACTCAAATCTGTTTCTATACAATGTGTCTCTGCTTTTACCTTTGTGATCTCAAATGGAAGCTATCCTTTGGGATAAGGATGCTTCACACAATCATTCTGATAACTGAGGTGTGTGCAGAATAATCACATATCATACTCTGGGACTGTGTAATTTTCAAATGCCAATTTTAATGAGCTTGTCATCTGATAATTCAGTGAAGCCTTTTTTTTTATTTGAAGATAAGATTATCATATGGGAATTATTGAAATCTGTATTATTTGGATGTATAAAATCAGATGCAAAAACAGTCTTTATTACATTTGCTTTTGTATTAATTGTTCCTTGGTGATGCAAATTGGTACATATAAAGACACAGTTATGCTAATGATGCTCTGCTTTTAAAACAGACATGCTATACTGTCGGTAACTGTTTCTATCCATCATATTTTCCATTTTAAAACCAGTGTCAAAAAGAAAAGTTGTTAATAATTTGTTAAGCACTGATGTAAGAATTTTTTTCTTCTTGCAAGAAAGTATAAGGAAATTCAATGTTAGATTAACTAGTTCTCAAAATAAAAACTGAAAGTTTCTGGCTCTTTAGAATGCAAGGCACTAAGTCAGGTCTATCCATAACTTACGTTACTAAATGACAGTCAAGTTTTCTTCCTTCTTTTTCTTTTCTGTTTTTTTAATTGCTTACCTTTTGTGTATTTACCAAGGGATATTTATCAAGCATCTGGACAAGGCTGAACTGATTTGTTTTTTTTTACATCATTCTTTATTTTGTGCATTTTTTCATCTCAGTTGTAATCCCTGAGGACTTCAACCATCAATTCACCCCTGTGCCACCTGCATAATCCTGTGTGCTCCTCACCCCAGTTTTGATCCTATTCCCCTCTTCATGCCCCAACTCACCTCCTATAACTGATATTTTCTTTCTTCATGATGTCAGATAGCTCTTGGAGTGTTTCTTCATTCCTTTTCCTTTTTACTTCACTCTCCTTTTCTGTTCTGATTCTCTTTATTTCTATGTGTAAAAGGCTGCTAATTCATTCTTTCATTTCATCTAATCTGTTTACTGCTTTCCCCAGAATTATCTCCTCCAGTAGTCTTTTAATCTTCTGCAGCCCTTTTATTTCCTTTGTTAAGGTCTCATTTTCATTCTTCAGTTCATTAATTATTTATCTCATCAATTTTTTCCTTTTCATCTTCTTTATGTTAATCATGACAATTCTAAATTCTCTGATAGGCTGAGCAGTTCTTCTATATCTTTGTTGATCTGGTGTCTTTTCTTTTTGTGGTGAAATTTTCTCCTGTGGGCTTGCTTGGGTATTTCTTTCTTTCTTTCTTTTTTTTTCCTGTCATCTGTTTCCTAATGCTGTCTATGCATGGAGACACAGTATTGCTAGTATTGGCCAGCATTTCTTCTGGATGCTCCTTATGGGGTGGCTGGCCGATGAGACCAGGTCGAGGACTAATGTGTCAATCCTCCACAAGGGTGATGTGAGTATGGTGGTGAGTTTGAGTGCCATTTGTGGTTACTCCACTCTGTCTCAAATTTTCTAATTAAGAAATGTTCCAACACATTTTGACTGTAAAATGAAATGTATTTCTGATTTTGATAACAAAGTTTTTCACGGTAGAAAGGTTTTAGATTGGCACTTTAACTCTTGATATTACTCAGAAAGCATGGTTTTTTAATACTGTAAGTCTCTTCTTTTTTCTTAAACTAAATTTCTACTAAACTAAAATCTACTAGAAGTGGCTATTTATTGGTTCTTATATCTGTCACTAAGGGAAGAGTTGAAATTTTTATTTTGTTTCTTTACAAAACAGAGCAAAAACAGTCTTTATCTGTGTGGATGTATTAGTACTTTTTCACTCATTTATCTGAGTGGATATATCTGTATGTCCCACACAAGCTCAAAAGTATTGCACCACTGTAGATAATCAGTAAGTGTTTAATGAATGAGTAGAAAATAAATTAAGGCCACTTTCCATCTCCTGAAGTGGTCACTACTCAAACAGTGCTAGAGTACAGAAATGAGCCTAAATATTGTCTTCTGTCTTTCCCCTTCTGTCAACATCTCACACACGAAGCTGATGAAGTTCTTTACCTCAGCAGAGGAGCAAACTGGCCTTTACTGTACAGTGAAGTTTTCACAGTTTCTGGCCATTCAGGATGCAAGGTCCTAAAGTCAAGTCTACATATACCCTTAAGAAGAAACAGAACTCAAGACTTGCCTATAGGGGTAACAGGGGAAAGTCTGGTGTCACGTCTAATGTAGCTTAGACTAAATTCAAGGTGTGGGGCATAAAGACACCTTGGATGAGACTCATGATGTAGCCTGACTTACAAATTCTCTAAATAGAAGATAATCTAAACTTTTCCAACAGTGAGGCATTCATCCTTCGCTTCCTCTTGCCAGTCAGGCCCAAATATTTAATTACCATTGCAAATATTGTTATCAACCACCCTAATTTCCTTGAACCTAAGAGATTCCTGGAGATGCAAAACTTCAGTGAGAACTGGGATAGTCACAGGCAAACTGGCCATAATCCCAAATCTGTAAAAACACTATCAAACCTCACCCCAATTCTCCTGGCAAAAAGACATATTTAATCTAGTTTGCTATTATAAGCTTTAAAGGTAGTATGCATATTTCTTTTTTTTTTTTTGTATGTATGTATATTTCTAAAATGTTGTTAACCCTCTCTCCTTCTTTTCCTGGGCTGCATTTATTAACTTGCAGCACTGGATCTCAAGACTTACTATACTACAGAATCATGTGGAAGGTTTATTAAAACACAGATTGCTGGAACTCAACCTTAGAGTATCTAAGTCAGAATTTACATCTAAATCAGTAAGTCTGGGGCTCAAAAAATTTTCTATTTTTAAGAAGTTACCAGATGTTGCTGCTGCTGATCTGGGCATCTAATTTTAAGAACTGCTTTTCTGAGACTAACATGTAATCAACAAAGGAGTCAACTGCAAGTCTGAAGGTATGCATCAACAATACACAGTACAGATGATCATAAGATTCAGTGTTTTACTCTTCATTTCTTAAATACTTCTCAGCAGTGACTAGGTACAGGTTTCTTTAAATCTTAATATACAAAGTTTTAAATATAATATAAATCATTTAAACTTTCACACAACTCTTCAGATATGTGGAGAGTTCTCCATTACTGGATTTACACTAATGCCCATGATTTCTCTATAGAAAAATAAGCACAATGTAGCACTTTTCTAGTGACATTTGGTTCCTCTTCTGTGTTTTCAAACCTAACAGTTCAAATATTCTTTGTACCTAATCTGACCATAGTATCACAATTAACATTCCCTTTGGCATACTAAACTGGAAAAAAGTATATTTTTGAAAACAGAATCATTATTTCTTTCAATCTATGGAAACTTTTTAATGTAACAAAACTGTAAAAGCAATTCAAGTTTATAAATATGCATGCAATTTTATGTCCAAATATATTGCCTATCAATAGAAAAGTTGTCTTTAACAATGGAAATACGACACTTATCTCTGAAGAAAGATTCCTGACTGCTGCATTTAGATGCTGTATCTGACCTACAAGAAACTAAGCTTACAGTACTTTGATGACAGATAGTCAATCCAATATCTACAAAAGGTTTCTGAGAAAATGGGTCTAAAATGGAAATGCTTTACCACTTTGAAGGAGAAAATGAATTTCTAAATGTTTCAATCTCTAAAAGTAGCTTTCAATAACCATCATTTGTTTTTTCCCCCCAGCGTTCTGGTGGAGGCCTTGCCATTCCCTTGTGTGCATTCCAGGGGACAGTATCTCTCCACGCACCTACAGGGAAAACCCTCTCTCTCTCTACCTATGAAGTAAGTGCAGAAGGGCAAAAAATAACCCCTGCCTCTAAGAAAATAGAAGTCTATCGATCTAAAAGTGTTGGCCATGAACCAAACTCAGAGGACTCTCCCTCCACATTTGCAGACACAAATGTGAAAATACACTTGGAAGTTCTTGAAATCTGTGACAATGAAGAGGCCTTGGACACTGTGTCAATCATTAGCAATATCAGCCAATCCTCCACGCAGGTCAGATCTCCATCCCTACGCTACTCAAGGAAGGAAAACAGATTTGTTTCATGTGATTTAGGGGAAACAGCCTCATACTCTCTCTTTTTACCCACGAGTAATCCTGATGGTGATATCAATATCTCCATCCCAGACACAGTTGAAGCACACAGGCAGAACAGTAAAAGGCAGTATGAAGAGAGAGATGGCTACCAGGAGGAAATCCAATTATTAAATAAAGCTTACAGGAAAAGAGAGGAAGAAAACAAGGGTAACTATTAATTACTTAAGTAATCTAATAAGGCAAGAATGGCTCTAATGACAAACTGATAACACCTTTGTTCTGAGGCTATTTGATTTTCTTTTTATTAGTTGGTTTACATAAACTTTACAGATTTGCTAGTTTATTATGGTTAGTGCTAACTTTTAGTGCTAACAGCTGGGACTAGTGCAACACTTAAGTGCTTCTGATGTGTTACTACAGATTACACACTGTGATAACTAAAAGATATTCCTACTCGATTTCTAAAAATTTTTTCTAAGTGAATCTTGGCTTACTTTACAAATGTTTTGTCTATGTTTATCAACCACCAAGTAAACAGAAAATTGCATAAATTCAATGACTATACTATTCACATACACTTTTTCATACATTTTGGCATTTACTGCAAAAGGAAAAAAGACATTTTGTGAATGAAGGAAATATAACAAAATCCCAAGTTGTATTTGAAGAGTTTTGCCTACATGGGGCCAGCAAAAGCAGCTTATTACAATTACCGCTTTAATTTTATACTTATATCTAGGAAATACATTTTTGTGTCAAATGAAAAATTAACCTCCAACTTCAAAACAAGCATGTCCCTAGACTGTAAATAGGTGTTCCCTTAATTTCTATTAAATTGTTTATTGAATGCCTTTTTTTCTCTCTTAACTGTGTTTTCTCTTTCATCTTCTCTTCAGTATGTTGGACTGCCTTTAAAACAAATACGTTTTATGTTACAAGTGAAATTTGAAGTAGTCCTTAATTCAAGCATTACTAGAAAAGATTGTAAATGTCTATGTCAACATTTCTAGAACTGCATTTATTTGAATGTAAATTGGGGAAAACACTGCCAGATAAGTTTTATGAGATGCATACAACTCATAAAGGAACATTTGGGTAAAGGAGAGGAAAATCCTCTTAAGTTCAAACCTAAATTTTGTTCTTAAAGTTGCAGATTTTGTAAATTTTCTTAGTCATTCTTGAAGCACAGAGTAGTTCAAATATTATTCCAAGTTTAGGTGCTTCTTGGTCTTTTTCCCAAAGACATAAGTATCTCAAGCAAAGAAATAACTCAATGTATTTATTAAATGATTATTAGCTATACATTTCAAGATTAATTTTAAATGTGTTACATTACAAAAAAATGTTGGAATCACATTGTTAGAATGTTTGTTATGTATTTTTCAAAAATGATAAAATGACTTTTTCTTCAAATTGCTTTATCCTCCTTTATGTAAACACACATTAAACAAATTACTTAAATGCTATTTTCCAACGTTATTAAGAGTTGACATTTTATTTGTTTTAAGCTTTGTACACCCTCACCTTACTTAATACTTACAGACTGAATGAATTTTTTTTAAATGGTGTACTTTGAGTTTAATTTCATTGTATTAAATCAAAATTCTAAAATATTTGACATAAGCTTTCAAATCAAGAACTGTTTTGATTAGCCAGGTGTCATTTTCTTTTTAAAATTTGTATTTATTTATTCCATAGGAGATATGGGGTGTAGGCCAGAGGTATGGGGGGTAGGAAGAGGGGCAAGAGAATTTCCCAGAGACAGAGTGGGGCACAGAACAAGCAGAGTGACTGAAATACACTGCTGAGGGGAGCAACGGGTGGGACAGGGGAGGTCTGCTGCACCATATGTGGGTCAGCTGGGGGTTGAATTCAGGCCATAGCAGTGACAGCACTGAGACTTACGCCTTAGCTACCAGGTAGACCCCCAGATGTCACTTTCACAACAGTTCTCAATGGATTTGCCATCTCTCATTTAACTTTACAATATCTCATTATCTAAACTTGGGAAGCAAATGCAACACCATAATCAATGTTTGCCAGGGAAGCCTCAGATAATGCATGGCTTATAAATTCAAATTCAAATGTATTCTCATAACAAAGATATTTTATATACTTTAGAGACTTTTTATTCCCCAAATTGAGGGCTCTTTCAATACTCACAAATGGTCAGAATTAATGTTATAAATCAATAGCATTTAATGTCTATTATAAAGCAAATATCTAATTGAATATTCCTTTAAAAAGAAAGGCTTTGATATGTATAAATTTAGATATATAATTTTATGAATGAAAAAGGTGATTTTTCTGTTTTCATATATATTATCTAGCAGCAAAGAAATTAGAAACAATAATAAAATGGAAAACAATAATAACTTAAATACAAAGAAATCCGTTATAAGTACATAGCACTTTGAATGAGGGGATAATGTAAGTCATAATTTAAAGAACACAAGAGCTGGGTTGGACACAATAGTACCACTTTTCTTTTCTCTTGTTCCACTTACTTTTCACCAGATTTGCTCTATCACACTTATTCTAGGAACTCAGCTGGTTTGGTATGAGGAGGCTAAAACTAGGCCAAATAAGAGAAATTGGAGTGACAACATGTAGACCTTCAAACCCATAGCCACTCAAAGTTGTAGCCCAAAGCCAACATCAATTACAAATGTTTGAGTGAAAATGCCTCCAAATGATTTCAGTCCCCCACTATCTAGCCTTCCCATAAGAGAGGAAAGAGGGAAAAATGCTTAGAGAGTGGAATTTCCTAATTAACTGAACAAGAAAAGTTAGCTGGCATGTTAAGATATTCCCATGATTTTCTTGTTGCTTAATTAAAAAAAAGATTCTAGAAATAATATCTATAATAAACAATCACTAAAAAACTATATATTTTTTGCCCATCTGAATTGCATTTTATGTAAAATGTTTTTCATAAGTTACATATCCAGTCATTCTCCATATTCATTCTGCATTTAACTAAATTCCACAATTTGAATTCCACAAATATATATGTAAAGTTACTCTACAGTCATTTAATAAGTTCTTTATTAAGAACTTATATTATTAATATTAATAATATCTGAATTAATATTGTCTCCATTTTCCTTCTTTTGTCACTCAAAAGTCTGATCTTTATATTCTTGAGAGGTTTAAGATACTTTATCAGCATTCCCCTTTTCTCTCAACTCAAGAATCAATTTAGGGCTCCATTTTTCAAGGAAAACATGTACACAAATACACACATGCATACACATACTCACACACCTATGCCCCCCCCCCCAATCAGGCCTTCCATGAATGTTAGACCCATGAAGTATGCAAGAATTGTCTCACAGGGGTAGGGTAAAAGAAGATGGAGAGTGTGAGATCCCTGATCTGGGAAGTATACCAGTTTTCAATACTAGTGTGGCTCAGCCTGCTTCCAGAGATGCTGAACAGAGACGTGGAAACCTGTGGAAGCTAGATAGCAATGCGTTTGACAGAAGTGGGCCTAGCCCATGATATGGAAAAGACTTGAGAGACATACATTTTAGTCTGCCTAGAGCACAGCACACAGCACATTAGTGAGGCAGGACCCCCTTTGTTTTCTGGCATTAAGAAGCCTAACCATTAGTATGGCTCTAAATGGCAGCAAATTTAAACTTAAATAACAATGGCCATTTTTATTCCTACCAATATTTTCCTGGTCTTTTTTTGAAAAAAAAAAAAATCTTCCTTTTATGCAGGGTTTTGCTACAGTAACATTTCTTTTAAAGTGTCTGCCAACAGCAATATTCTTAACCATGTAGAAAAAATTGGAAAGAATTAGGGCTCTGTTTAGGATAAATAGACATGAGGTGAAAAATATTTCAGCTTAATCAAAAAATATAGATAACACTCCTTTTCTCTCCAGTTGTCATGAGGATTGTATAAATACAGAAAGCCATATTATTTTTTCTGTACAAGAGCTATTTCAGCAAAGACCCTTGGCAGAACACATTCCATTATAGAAGCTACAGGAGGGAATTATTTTCCTATTCCAGTTCTAGAGGTTGACTGCATTCCAGGGTTTATGGCCCCTTCCACCATCTTCAAAGTTAGCAGTTGGTATAGTTCTCAAATACGTCACTGTGACCTCTCTTCTGCTTCTTCTTCCTCTTTGAAGAAGGCTTATAATTACATAAGGCAAGGATAATATCCCTATTTTAAAGTTGGTTAGAGAAATCTTAATTACCCTTGGCCATGTAATGTTATACATGCAAGCGTTAGGATGTAAACATCTTTGGAGGTCATTATTCTGCAGAATATAAATGTCATTTACCTCATCTAATACTCAGAAAATGATGAATGACTAATAAGTGCTAGTTCAGGTCTCCAATTATTCCCTGTGTTAGTCAGCTCAGGTGGCCATAACAAAATGCCAGATTTAAGTGTTGGTGACATAAAAAACAAAACATTTATTTTTCATAGTTAATGAGGCTAGGAAGTTCAAGATCAAGGTGCTTGCTGATTGGATTCCTGGCAAGAATGCCCTTCCTAGCTTGTGGCCATCCTTTTTCCTATCACATGGCCTTTCTTATTGAGGAAAGATAAAATTTTGGTGAATTATAAGAATACTTCTTATAGAGAGACTAGTCATTTCAGATTAGGACCCCATGTTTATGACCTCATGTTCAATTCAGTTCAATATATGAATTTGGAGGAGATATATTCAGTCCCAATCTACCTATTAAATAACTCACATACTTGTATCAGGTGTACCCACTGGGTACATTTATTGGTAGTATTCATTTCATGGTCTCAGTCACATTGCCATGGGGCTCTCAAATGTATAATCTGTATAGCCTATATTTTTAACTCATATAATGAGCTACCTCCTAGACATTTCAATTTCTATGTTTCATAGCCTAAAACTGCACATGGATAAAATAAACACTTTATCTCAATATTCCCTCCACCTCCCTTTATCCCCCAAAGGAATCTGAACAAGACTGGCTTTGAACAATAAGCAGTAGCAAAATATGTGCTAGGTGCCTGTACCTCTCCTGTGTGATGCTACAGAGCAGGACTTCTGGGGCTGAATCGTCTTCCTTGCATTTCATCCTCCTCTACTTCTTCCCGTGTTGAGCTGAAATGTTTTGATTTGTGAGAAATATATTCCTTATTCCTTAAATAATAGTGCATTTACTACATTTCACAACTATTAATCATCAAAACCAAAATATAAATTATTAATTATTTTAAAATTCCCTTTTATTATATATTTCTATTCTCAGTGATATGGTACCTCTTTATTTGGTAGTCATTCAACTTTAAACTTAGGCATTATCTGACTCTTTTCTTTAATTGTCCACATCCAATGCATCATTAAATTTTAAAACTTTATCTCCCAATAATGACATCCTTTAAAAGAGACGGGGACATTTTTACATTTAAGTGTATACTTAAAATAAGTGCCAGTCTTCTCTCAAGAAGTAGCTTCTGTAAACTAAATAAAGCATTAAGTAGTACCCATACCCCTCTAAGGGGCGAGCTCAAAACCCAAGGGATAGCTGGCCTGGCCTCGGGGAAAACTGTCAGCAACAGCATAAAGTTGTCTGGAACTAATCAGTACTTTAAAAAAAATGGCATTCCTAAAACAGTGTTCACAAGATAAGCCGGCCTTGAAATAGCGTAAAATAACAATACTCCTCAATAGACATCATCAAGTATGCATTAACCACCTCCTTGAAACTTCTCAGTAAAAAATCTTGCAAATACAAAAAGATTTCCTTAAAAGACTGTTTCTCAGGGTGAGGCTCAGAATTTATTAGACAGCTTTCCTAGAGCTACCTAGCAGCTAGCTGTACTCCGACTTCAGTCCTCGGTCTTAATTCATCAATAAACTCATTTACGTTTTCTTGATTCAATTTATATGCCAACATTACCAAAAACAAGAAAGATATGAATTCATTTCATTAGAGACCGCTAGAAGGCAGTGTATTTCCCCGTAGGTTTTTGTAACTTGTGTCAATCCATGTTTACTACTAAGGGTCTAAGGGAAAGCAAACTCCCGATTTTTACTTCAAATAATAAATCCCCAAACCCATTTCCTCACTTGCTAAGCTGAGGGAAAGAAAACCTGCGAGCCTTTCGCGCGCTCTCCCTTCAGAAGTACAAGGATCCACAAGTGTGGACACATCAGACAAGCCTTCACTACGCCTCCCTCCGCGCATGCGCAGTCGCTGGCCCCTGACGTCACGGGAAGCCGCTGCTGTGACGCTCAGACGCCTTACCCTCGCCCTGGGCGCCGGAAGCAAAACGGAAGTGGACCTGCACCCACTTCCGGCCCGGACGCCATTTCCAGCGGTTGCGGGTTCTCACGGGTTGATATCACCCGGGACCATGAGCTATGACTACCATCAGAACTGGGGCCGCGATGGGGCGCCTCGCGGCTCCGGCGGAGGCTATGGAGGAGGTTATGGTGGGAGTCATGGCGGAGGTCGTGGAGGAAACCGAGGCTCTGGCGGCGGCGGCGGTGGTGGTCGCGGCGGTCGGGGCCGACATCCCGGGCACCTGAAAGGCCGCGAAATCGGCTTATGGTACGCGAAGAAACAGGGGCAGAAGAACAAGGACGCCGAAAGGCAGGAGGTAATAAGAGACTCCTGATGTACGGGCCGGGGGAGTGAGGCAGGCCAACTTTTCCCTCCTGCAGCCCCTAAGTTTTTCTTTGCTTGTTTATTTCATGTCTTCGTTTGTTAACTGGTGAATTTGACTTATAAAGTGTAAGTGAAGTGAAATACACAGGTATTGTTTAAATCAGCCATGTGCATCTGACTGTCGGCTGAACGTGCACTTTGCCTAAAAGACCTGAGAGCTGGACAAACTAAATGGTAAATTCAGGTTCCAACTGAAAGGAACTTTAATGTGGTGTCACTGTCATACTGTTTCTGGTCTCTCCTCCCCTTTTCCCTTAGACTAATTATGGTCACTTTTATTATTTTAAGGTTTTTTTTTTTTTGCCAGGTGAACTTGAAAATAGAGACCTTCTACATTAGATACAAGTTTTCGGTGGAACAGAGGCTGTCAGGAACTATTCTGAATGCAGGCCATTTAGAATCACAGTCCAACTATTTTTACTATTAAAACAGCCACAAACCTTTTTCTGACTTTACTTTTTATGTTCAGCTGGAGAAGTTTCTGTTAATTAGCAATTCCTTTTCTTTGAGAAGAAGTTTAGGATCCTAGAAGAAGAAATCTTAAGGCATGATTTTATGTGATTCAGTTGCTTCAGGTTGGTGATTGTGCTTTGACTTGTATCGTGCAAATCTGTAGTGAAGAAAATTGTAAAGTTACCTGAGTGGCCTATTCTAATTTTAAAAGTACTATGATGAAACAGAAACTTAATAGAAACCTTAAAATAGGTTTTTAGTGACTTCTTAAACACAGACTTAATAGAATCCCACTTAGTTATTTGCAGTGTAATTAAATAATCTTTTAAGCTATTTTTCAATAATTTCATTAAGGATATTTCTTATCTCTGTCATTTTCATTGAAATTTGGGGTGTTATCCATTTATCTTCACAGCATAATCACATTTTTCTCCTTACAAAAGTGATCAGCGTATTTCTTTAACAACCCAAGATTAACTTTTTCTTTGAGTAAGTTGGTTTTCTAAACAATCCACGGAAGCACATCTAAGTCATATTGACATTGGAAGAATATTTAATTGCTGTGAAAGGATGTGCAACAGTAACTTTCTAAGAACTCTTCATTAAATTTAATTGACCTCCTGTTTCATACAAGGTTTTATGCATGTTACTAAGAGAATCTGATGAAACATCTAGAGCTTCAGTATCCTTGGGAAAAATGGGGTATAAATATGAAAAATTAAATAAGAAAATTGTCATGGATCATTATGAATGGAACTCTTGATTTCTGCCATCTCTCCAAATCTTTGTTTTAGTTAATGTAATACGCGTTGCCAAAGCCAAAATGGGATTTATTTTTGATTCTTCTCTTATTTCACCAAATCTGTTTACTGTGCCTTTTTAGTATATCCCAAATTCAATCACTGATATCCAAATAATTACTACAGATCTATTATCAGTTATCATAGACAGTATTTTGGTTTTTGTTGGTGGTCTCCTAATTGATCTTCTAGCTTGCAGTCCTGCCCCTACCTTTGTTAGACTCACAGTGATCTTTTAAAATAAATATTCCAATCTTAAATTGTGATCTACAGAATGTGATTGGAAGCCTGGTGTCTTTTATCAGTCTAGTGTATTCCAGTGCACCATAACATGCTTTCCAGGAATCTTGGTGGTGTAGCTTTAATCTGTCAGATTTCCCTGTAGGTATCTCTTGGAGCCCATGCACACAATCTGATATAATTATAGCTTTTGTACACATACTTTTATTTTTGTGTTTTATTACAGTTTTCGTGTTCTCTAAAATGCATCTTTCCATCTTTTATATCTAAAATATGAGCATGGTTCAGTAATTGGTTTATCCTGCCTGTTGATTTAATTACCTTCATCCACAGATGATTGCTCATTGCTTCTAAGTTAGAATTTCCAAGACTTTGCTTTTTATAAATAACCATATTTACAAAATGATATTAACATTCTAGTGATACACATTTTGTTAAAAAAAATATTGAGCATCAAATATGTCTGAGATAGTATCTTAGGTAACTGTGCTATTAAGATGCATGCATGTTCTCCTCCTTTATGGTATGTGAGGGGCTGTAGAGAGTTTTATAAGGAGAGTGTGGGCTGTTTCCTAACTGAAAGTAGAAAGATTCTGGAGGATTTCACAAAGGAAGTAACCTTTAAACTGAAACATGAGATAAAAAAGGAATTGGAATTTGGAGAGGGATTTCAAATTGAGGGAGCAGTCCACCACAACTTGGAGGTGAGAAAGAATATAAAAAGCAGTAGCTTAGATGTGCATTGTTCTGACATTAAGGTAGGGCAATCTCACATAAGAGGTTTTAGGTTTGGGGTCAAGTAGTTGAGTACCTTTTCCTTACAATTTTGTTTTCATTATGAAATAATATGTGAAATGTTGAGTGTGACCATTTGGTGGTATGCTAAAAAGGATGGAAAAAGTTTGAAGTAATTGCTAAAGGGAAACTGATAATATAGGTGGAAAAAAAACAAACATTGTGGGTCTCCTTTGCCAGAAAATTATAACTAGAAGCAGAAAGATTAATGGAGGTATCCAAAAGGAAAGAAATAACCAAAACTGAATCCTGTAAAGTACTATAGCCGTGAAGTGTAAGATGTGTCTGAGATTCTCCAGGCAGGTAGTGAGGTACAGTGAAGGGTGATAGAATTGGAAGGTTAGGAAGAAGGCCATCTACAAAAAAGGCAGGGTCCGTGTTTGACATTTTGTCGTTAATAAAGTCTCCAATCGAGCCACATTGTGGGGAGAACCTCATTGTAAATAAGAGGTTAAAATTTTATATACTGTAAATTGTGTTTTTATTAAAAAGTATAAAATTATGTTTTCAGGGGCTGTTTCATTTTTCAATCATCCCGCCTTTTTGTGGATATCTAAAATCCATATAACAAGGTGAGGAGGCGAACCTTTGTTCTGCTAGTAGAGGTAAAAACTTCAAAATATAAAGTTCTGGTTGGTTGAGGCAATGCTTTAATGTGAATGAGTTTCAGTTGGAAATAAATCATTGTACAGGTAAAAATGCTAAGTCTTTTATTTTGCCCTTTTGAAGTGTGAATGAGAGAAACAATGGTTTTGAACTCTTGAGTTTGTTGGGAAGGATGCAAAAATTAAGGACATTTTACTTGAGAATGATTTTTTACCAGAAACTACTTTTCAGAGGCATTTTAAATGAAAGTATACATTTCTAACTGCCAAGAAAGAACATAATTGATTTCTAGGTAGGCAGAAAGAGCAACTAAAAGTTAATGCAGAATTTACATTACAGAGTTTAAAGCAAAGGGTAAACATGTTTTAGTAATGATCCCTTACGTCTGGTTCTGCAAGACTAAGGCTAGTAATGATTGCATAGGAGGAGTAACAGAGTGCTGAGCACATTGGTGTACTCACAGTGGCAGTTTTTTTACAGTCATTTATTAAAATTGGCAAAGTAAAATGTGCATAGGGCAGAGACCAGGAAATCCAGGTTGAAGATTCCCAGTTCTAGTGAAGAGGTTTCATTATATAGAAAAGATACATTAGTGTAATATATAAGCCATTTAAAAAAGATTCTTTGTAGTGTGGATAAAAAAAAAAAAACAGCATAATTTGGGACTATAGTTACTGCTTTTAAACAGATTTTGCTGCATCTCCTATCAAAGTTTTGCTGTATTGTGCTTTTAAATTGTATTAGCATAATGAAAACTTTGACTAAATTAAGCAAAAGTCTTTTAGATTCCTAGCATCAAAGATATCACTGTATTTTTTGTGTTTCTATTTCTTTAAAGCGAAACATGGCTTACCACAGAAGTGTCACATCACACAAACTTACTGTAAAAGATAGATTTAATCATTTGTCCATTCATCTGACAGACGTCTCTGAACAATCTATTATGTATAAGAAATACATCTGGAAGAAAACTTGCAAAAAATGTGAAAAGTAGATAAGCTTTTTTTAAAAAATAATAATAATGAAAATAAGATCTTACTGCATGTTTTCTGCTCCTGGCTTTTTCCATTCAGTACCCTGGCCATATTTCCTGTCTGCATACTTGAAGGAAAAAAAAAATCTGCCAGTTCTTTATTTTTAATTTAGTAAATAATTATTAATTATAAATATTTATAATTCATCTTATTTTAATTTGCATTTATAACTTTTCCAAGTTCTTATTCTTATTGTGTTCATAATAACTCCTCTGATAATGTATTTTCTCTTCATGCTTTCACATTTTGTGTGGCAACTGTGTCATTTACAACATCTGATCAGCCTTTTGATCAATTCTATTTATGCACACTGAGCTCAACCTTCTAACTTCTAAACTTACTCCTCCTATTAGTGTGAGAACGTAAAAATTCCATTGCAACCAAAATACTTTGTCCAATTTTAATTTAGTTTATCTTTTTTTGAAATAATCTTGGGTTTTTAGTAACTTTCAGAGATACTCAGTTTATGAGTATCTTTGAAGCGTTAAGATGGGAAAATTTCATAATGACTAGTCTGTGAGGCTAGGAGGTAAGGAGTAAAGATGGAGTAAGACATAAATGTGCTCCCTATTTCAGTCATCCATGAGTTAATTTTATAATATAATAGAAAAAGATCTAGAAGACTATATATAAAAAAAATGTTGACATTGGATCTAGGAAGTGGAATTGATCTAGAAGACAAGTATGGGTTAACTTAACTTTCTTTTATGTTTGTTGAATATATATTACTTTGCCTGTTTTTAAAAAATGTTAGATAACTTAACACACTCTTTCTCATGTTGATAAGTGTGCTTTTTCTTTTGCACAAATAGAGAGCTGTAGTACACATGGATGAACGCCGAGAAGAGCAGATTGTGCAGCTACTCCATTCTGTCCAAGCTAAGAATGATAAAGATTCAGAGGCACAGATATCCTGGTTTGCTCCTGAAGATCACGGGTAAAACAAAAGTATTATTTTAAAAAATGGGCATAGTGACACTTCTTTCATAGCATTGGCTATGAAAAAATATATATAATGAAAATGACATCTTTAGAATCTTGGATGAGTGATTTAACCCCAAAGTAAAATTTTGTTTATGTAGATTGAATAGAAACAGTAAAAAGTAGGGAAAAAGATTAGTGGCATATTCCCACAGGAAGGCAAAATGGAAGGAGATGAGATGTATTATTGTTTATCTTCTGACTATTATCATCATATTTCAGAAATTCTGTGGAGAAGCTCTACAAGAAGTTAAATTGCTATTATTAGAGGAAAATCATAGGAGCTGTATCACTTACAAAAACATAGTTAAAGTTTCTGGTACTGTGTAATATCGCTTCCCATTTATAACTCAGAAAAAAATTGAAGTGAAATAAAACAACACTAATAAAATTTAAAAAAAAAGCACTGTTAAGTCATTACAGTGGAGGAATGACTGTCTTGTAGATTTTTTTTTTAAACAAGGGATAACTTAACTATTTAGAGGAGGAAAACATAGGTTCTTTATAAGAATGTAGGTATTCTCAAAATTGCTTTACTATGAAAAATAATAAAACCATTTTTGATTTGGTAATTTTGAAATAAAGATCATCAAAATTTGTCCCAGGATTCTAATGGTTCTTCATTTAATGCTTTCTCATTTTTTCCATCTCATCAAAATAGGTATGGTACTGAAGCTCCTTCTAAGAACAAACCAAACTCAGAGAAAAAACTTGAGGAACATGAAAAAAAACTAATAAATCAAGAAAAGAGGACATTTAGAATCAGGGACAAATATATTGACCGAGATTCAGAGTATCTGTTACAAGAAAATGAACCAGATGTAACCTTAGACCAACAATTACTGGAAGATTTACAGAAGAAAAAAACTGACCTTCGATATATTGAAATGCAGGTAATGAAAAGCAAGCTGTAGGAAAAATTTTACTTGTTATCTTTTCTCATACTGCATAAAAATGTATTTAAACTTATGTTTAGAGGTAGCACATGGTATAAATTATTGTTTACTTAACAGACCATCATCTATAGGAAATTCACCTCCCCCCCACCAATGAGAAAAGCAATGGAAATGGAATCACGTATAGTTTATAGTAGCTTGTCTCATCTATAGCGGCTTCTTTCATGAGGGGAAGACATAATTTAATAAATGTAGTATAGAAGAAAAAATCACTCATTAAGTTTTAATTTTGTAAAAAAAAAAATTAGTGAGACATGAGGTCATTAGAATTATAATTTTTCAGGCCTTCCCTAGTGGCGCAACAGGTTAGGATGCAGCACTGCAATCAAGCCACAGCCACTTCAGTGCAAGTTCAATTCCTGGCCCCAGAGGTGATGTACATGGTGCAGCAGACCTCTCCTGTCTCACTTGCTGTTCCCCTCAGCAGATACTTCATCAACCTGCCTGTTCTGCTCCCCCACCTACCTCTGGTTAATCCTCTCAATGCCCCTGCACCTCTGTCCTATAACCCAGTTATATATGCATAAATAAATAAGTTAAAAAAAATTAAAGTTTTCCCCAGGCCATTTAACTCTTTTATAATAATGAAATTAAATCATACAAAACTTACATGATGTATTTATTGTCAGCAACATTTTTGTAAAGATTTCATTTTTGTGTGTGTGAAAGAACTGGGGTATAGGCTAGACACCGAGTGGGGAGCAGAACAGGTGAATTTACTAAAATACTTTGCTAAGGGGAGCAGCGGGCAAGACAGGAGAGGACTGCTGCACCATGTGGAGTAGCTCCCTGGCTAGGGATTGAACTCAGGCCTAGAAGTGATAGCACTTGAGACTTACCCATAGACCACCAAGGAGGCCCATGAAGAATTTTTTATTTTATGTACCTAGATCCATATAAGCTGTAGTACAGCTTCTTCAGTGTATGTCATTTGTATAGAGTATGAATATGGGATTCCATAAAAGTTTTCAAAAGTAGAACTTACTCCATAACTAAGATACAGAAAATAGTTTCTCCCTCTTTACAGTTCCAGTTGTAATTCACCAAAAATGTGTTGCTTCAATGTGTCAGAAACCCCCACTTGCTTTATATGTAAAGGTTTTTCATTCAGATTTTGTGGCAACCCATTGAGATGAAATCTTTGAGGGACCTGCCCTCTAAATTTGTTTTAACTAAAAATTATTAAATGGTAGTGTTGGTTCCCTGACACCATATACTTACTATTTTAAGTTTTCCTTGATATCCAAAGGTATGCACCTAGAAATAATCTTTGAATTTGCTCCAGTACCTAATGAATTACTAAGTGGTAAAATAACTAAGTGGGTGGATCAGTGGGTGAAAAAAGATGAAGTTGTAGAAACCTAAAGTCGCTATATAAAAATGGAATAGAAGAAATGGTAAAGGCAACATTTTAGGATTGTTAGGATGCAATTTGATAAATTTCATTTCACTATCAAGAAAAGTATATTTTCAGTGAAATACTTTATCATTAGTTTTTATATAAGATTTTAAATTTTGTTACTTATAACATTTATGGTACTACTCTGATTATAATTTGATTACATTTATTGTGATTTTTTTTTTTTTTTTACATTTCAGCACTTCAGAGAAAAGCTGCCCTCATATGGAATGCAAAAGGTAAAAATGAGTATCAGTATCACTTGATTGATTTGCAAAATAGGCATTTTTCTTTTTAAAGTTTATCAGGAAGATTTACAGTAATGAACCTTCCCCTAACCTTCCTATTAGTGGAATTTCATTGAATTGTTGAAGGACAAAAAAATAGTCATCAGATAGTTTTCCTAAAGTTTTGTCACATTATTGCCATTTATATTTCTAATCAAAATCTTCAGGAAATAAAGTGCTTTGACTTACTATGCTTTATCACACAGTCACCCTAGATAGAATTATATAGTTTTCTACTTTTCTCAACTCTGTGAACCTTTTTTAATTTTTCTTGGCTTTCCATAGCACTTACTAACTTCTGCTGTGTGTCTGCACCTCTTAGGCCAGTGCACTTTGAGGACAGGGTTTTGATCATTATATCTTTTTACTGTTTTCTGACTTTTCTATAAAACTTCAGTGTAAATAGTTTGCTCATTGAATGAGTGTCATTCTGCTTCTCAACAGAAATTTACCAGTTATAAATTTCAGTCTTCAGACTTCAACCTTGTTCTGGCATATATAACATCTAAAATATAGATGGTACATATCTAAAATATATTGGTTTTCAAGTTAGTTTGTAGATAAAAATAACTCATAACATCCCTTTAAAGTGGCAAGGTGGTAGGAAGATTTTGTTAATAAAGTGACTACTGACTACTGTTATTAAAAATACCAATTCTTACTGAAAATTGGTGTTTCTCTAAACTTTTAAGAACGTTGGTTTTCCAGATAGGTATAGTTGACCCATTTGATCTGGGTCTTAAAAAATTATCTTTGTTTTAATTACTTAGATGAAATTAACTATAATTATACTCCTCCTTGTTTTGAAACAGTCTCCAAAATTTGGACATATTTATGAATGTGATATAAATCCTAAAGTTCTGTAATAGGTGTTGGGTATCAGGGAATTTGCCTCTGTATTAAATGGCACCACATATCAACATTCTTTTTCATTAATGTTCTTTCTTATGTATGGAACTTAAAAACTGCTTTGTTGCCAGTGTATTTTTCTATGCCAGTACCTGACTCTGTTCCTTTTATAAATTGGTGGTGCTTTTCTCTTGAAATCTGGTAGATTCAGATATCCAAAAGACTATCATTGCAAATAAAAACAAACAAAAAAAAATTACAAGGTTTGTTAAGAGCAATGCGAATTTAGTAAAACTTGTTGCTGTTAATGTGATTTTACTTAGATATTTTCCCCTTTGAAATAGGAATTGGTGAATATGATTGATAATCATCAAGTGACAGTAATCAGTGGTGAAACTGGTTGTGGAAAAACCACTCAAGTTACTCAGTTCATTTTGGATAACTACATTGAAAGAGGGAAAGGATCTACGTGCCGGATAGTTTGTACTCAGCCAAGAAGAATTAGTGCCATTTCAGTAAGTAGCCTCTCAATTTTAAAACATCCTGCTTTATTTCCATTCTCCTGAAAGTAGTCTTGCTAGAAAATTACTAGTTTTGAAGATCTGGAGTGATTGAGATTTTGGCTGTGCTGGTATGAAAGCAAATAATTGGTTGGACAATATTTGGTAGCAAAGAATAAAAGATGATGTGAACTCAGTGTTACTGAGAGTCAATGTTAATAAATTCCAGACAAATAATAAACCACACAAATTTCAAAATAGAACTAAAAGAGTGAAAAACTGATAAATTTTTATAGAATTGATTACAAGATTCAAATAATCACCATCATTAGATGATTTAAATTTTACTTGATTTATTCAATATTGTTTTCAGGTCTTTTTTTCCCAGTACATAACACCTTGAACAGTGGTAAAATTGGGAAACTTTGCCTATTTTAAGATGCATTTCTACATCTTGAATGAATTTGTATAATAAGGAAATTTATCATGAAAAGAAGATTCAGGTTTACCATTTAACACTTACTGTACATGTTTGTTACAAAAAAATTGTTTACATGACTCTGATATGTGTGTGATACAATCTTTAAAGACGTTTCTTGTATCATTCAATGTATAATATATTTATCTTAATGTTAACATAATTCTGTAAGAAAATTGCATGTATTTTAAGTAGTTTTTTGATAATGCTCTTTATTACACTATTTTTTTTTTTAAAGATTTATTTATTCATCTAGAACTGGGGTACAGGCCAGAGATGCGGAGGGTGAGAGGATTCACCAGAGACAGAGTGGGGAGCAGAACAGGCAGATCAGTGAAGTACACTGCTAAGGGGAGCAATGGGTGGGTCAGGAGAGGTCTGCCACGCCATGTGGTCACCTCCGGGGCAAGCGGGGATCGAACTCTTAAGCTTCTTAGTGCAGTGCTTTAACCCGCTGTGCCACCAGGGAGGGCCTATTACACTATTATAATACAGATACTGTAGTCAAAACTGCTTTAATTATTATGATTCTGATTTCTAAAAATTAAAAGTATGGCAGCAGTCTCTTGATGGGATAACCATAGTACTAGAAATTGTATAAGATCACAAAATGGGTAAAAATAACCTGGATTTTACTATAGTACAATGATATGATTAGATATAAATTAGGTAAAAATCCAATCTTAGGTGCCTCCCTGGTGGTGCAAGCAGTAAAAACGCAGCACTATGAAGCTATCTGCAGTCACTGCAGCAGGAGTTTGATCCCTTGCCAGGGAGGTGACACAGATGGTGTAGCAGACCTCAACTGTCTTGTCTGCTGCTCCCCTCAGCAGTGTAGGTCAGTACAGGTCTGCCTGTTCCTTTCCCTATTCTCTCTCCCACCACCACCTCCAGCCCCCACATCTCTGACCTGTACCTTAGGTCTTCTATACAGAAATAAATACATTTAAAAAAAATACTTTAAAAATCCATTCTTATTTTCAAACACATGGCAGTCACACTGTTTGTACTGATAGCAAGGAGAAATGCTCACTAGATTATTTTCAGTCATTTTCCTAAGGCCACCTGGATCTTTACTACTTTTTTAAGTCCTAAAAGTGAACTAATGGTCTTAAGTCAGTACATACCAAATTGGAGAATTTTACTTTTGAAGTACTATTTTCTTAAAAGTTAATGTGTTTTGGGCCCCTGGTGGCGCAGCACTAAGAAGCTAAAGCCACTTTTGCATGAGTTCTATCCCCACCTGCCCCAGAGGTGATCCAAATGGCGCAGCAGACCTCTGACCTGCCCACTGCTCCCCTCAGCAGTGCACTTCATCAGTCGGCCTGTTCTGCTTCCCGCTCTGTCTCTAGTGAATCTTCTCACTGCCCCTGCACCTCTGGCCTGTACCCTAGTTCTGTATGAATAAATAAATCAATCTTAAAAAATTTATATATATATAAAAAAATTTAATGTGTTTTTTTAATAACTCTGTAAATCAGTGTTCTGTCACAAGAGGATTATTAACCAGTTTTAAATTATTTTATCCTCAGCTTACATTTGGCAGTCAGCACTTTCAGAACACAATGCATTATAGGTTACCAAAAAACAACAAAATATTTGCTTACTCAAGGTTTGTAAAACAATTACACAAGTTTTACAAGTTTAGACCATGACTTATAATTCTTCTGAAAAAGTAAAAATAAATAAGATGCTAGAGAAAGCACTTTAAAAGAACAATGACAGGGCCCTCCCTGGAGGTACCATGGTTCAGAGACCCCTCCTGCCCCCCCCCC